AGCAACACGATAACTCTGTGTGCCTTTTTTCTTTTTCTTTCTGAGGAACTAACCATTATCCACAGCAACCGCACTGTTTTAGATGCTCACCAGCACTGCGCAAGGGTGCACATTTCTGTACATCACTTATGAGTCTCTCTTTCATGATAGTCATCCTTCTGGGTGTAAGTGCTACCTCACAGTGTGTGACTTCTAACTTTGCTGATGACTGATGATGCTTTCTGTCTCTTCATGTGCTTGTTGGTCATTTGTGTGTCTGGAGGATTATCTGGTTAAATCTTTGGCCCATTTTAAAAATCGGGTTGGAGAGAGTTCTTATGTACACAAGTCATTTATCAAATAACTGATATGCAAATATTTTCTCCCCTTCTGTGAAAGCGGTTTTGTTTTTGTTTTTTAACTTTCTTTATAGTGTCCATAGATGCAGAAACCTTTTCCCCCTAATTGTCTTAAGTTTTCTTTTTGTCCTTTTGTATCATGTTTAAGAAACTTGCTTAATGTAAGATTGAGAAAATGTACACCTGTGTTTCCTTCCAGGGTTTTTAGAATTGTGTGAAATTCTGTAGTTGTAGTTCCTAACATTTAGATCACTGCTCCACTTGGAATTAATGTTTGTAAAAGGCTTGAGGTAGGAGTCCAACTGGCCATGAATAGCCAGCTGTCATGGCACACTTTGTTGAAAACACTGTTTGTTCTTCATCAGATGGTCTTGGTGTACTTGTCAAAACTCGATTGACCTTCTAAGTATAGGATGTTTTCTGCATTCTCAATTCTATTCCATTGGCCTATATATCTGTTCCTATTCCACTCTTCACTGTGTTGAATACTGAACCTTTGAAATAGGACATGCGAGTCCTACAACCTTATGTTTCAGTTATGCATGCCCCTTACAATGCCATACGAATTTTAGGATCAGCTTGTCCAAAAATAAAAGGCCCCTGAGATTTTAATCTGAATCACTTTATATTTGCAGATCAGTTTGAGAAATCATAACATTGAGTCTCCAATCCATGATCACAGGATGTCGCTCCATTTATTTAGATCTTTTTATGTTTCTTTCAGCAATGTTTGTGTGCAAGTCTTGCAGTCTCGGCTAAATTTATTTCTAAGTATTTTGTTCTTTTTTATGCTCTTGTAAATTGGATTTTTTTTTACTATTTTTTTACGTTGGTTTTTTTGCGTGCTGAACTTTGCTGAACTCCTTTATTAGCTCTGTAGTTTTGTGTGTGGATTCTTTGTGGTTTTCTGAATGTAAAATCATGTCATCTGTGAATAGAAGTTTTGCTTCTTCATTTCTGTTCTGTGTACATTTTATTTGGTGGCATTGTGGGTTACACCTTGGGCTATTAACTGCCAGGTCAGCAGTTCAAAACCAGCCTCTCTGTAGGAAAAAGATGTGGCTTTCTACTCCCATAAAGACTGACAGTCCACAATGGATGAATGTATGGATTGTGGTAAGAAATGTAAGAGCCCCCAATAAAAGTCAGAGGGAAAAAAAAAGGCTGACAGTCTTGGGATCCCACGGCGGTGTTGGGGGTTGGGGGGGCAGTTTTACTCTCTCCTATAGAGTCACTGTGAGTCAAACAACTCCGCAGCAGTGAGAACTGCCCTGGCGGGAAATTTGCAGTGTTGTTGCTCCTGATCATTGGGGTGTGGTGGGGAACCGCTCGTGGTCTTTGACCATTGGTTATGATGGATGCTAGCTGTGAGTTGTTCAAAGAAGCCCTTTATCAAGTCAAAGATGTTCCCTCTGTTCCTTGTTAGTTGAATTTTTTTTTCAAGCATGAAAAGGTGTTGGATTTTTGTCATGTGCTTTTCATGCATCTTTTGAGATGATCCACTTTTCTTTCATCCTATTAATGTGGTGTGTTACAGTGATTTATTTTCATATCTCGAACCATCTTGCTTTTTTTATCTTCAAGATAAATCCCACTTGGCCATGGTGCATAATTTGTCCAATATGCTTTTGAATTTGGTTTGCTAATATTTTTGAAGACTTTTAAAAAATCGTATGTCCGTAAGGGCTCTGATCTTTAATTTTTTTATCATGCTTTTGTGTGGCTTGGCTATCAGGGTAGTGTTTTTCCTCATGAAATGAGTAAAGAGATGTTCCCTCCTCTTCTATTAGATTGTGCTAATTATTTTTTATGTATTTGATAATATTTCACAGCAGAAGCCATCTGGTCCTGGGATTTTCTTTGTTGGAAGTTTATTTGTTTTTATTGTGAAACTTGTAACAAAACATAATTTTAAAGTTTTACTTTTAATTGTAAATATACAAGGAAACTTTAAAAGATTCGTGGAAAAAATTAATTATCAATTTTTAAAATCTATTATCTATTCCATCTTTCTATGAACTTTTTTAAAAACTCTGGTATATGTATCAAAGTAGTAGACATTTCAACAGTCTATTGGAAGCTATTGTTACTCATTCGACCTCTGGTATATATCCGTTCAGACTGCTTTTGGGGAGTCTTGAGTCAGTTGTAGTATGTTATGAGTTCATATGGAACCTTGGTGGCATTGTGAGTTGGGCATTGGACTGCTAATTGAAAGTTGCCAGTTCAAATCCACCAGCTACTGTTGTGGAGAAAAATAAGGCCAGCTGCTCCCATAAAGAACTAGTCTTGGAAACACTAGGGAATGCTTCTACGCTGATTGTCCTAAAGCAGTGGTTCTCAACCTGTGGGTCGAGACCCCTTTGGGGGTTGAACGACCCTTTCACAGGGGTCGCCTAAGACCATATCCGTCTCCAGGAGGGTCCGTCCACATGCAGATACACCCACACATGAGGAACTTTATGAAAGGGCCGCGGCATTAGGAAGGTTGTTGACTCAATGGCAGTAAGTGAATAGATCCATTTCATCTATGTTGTCCAAAGTTCTTGGCATATAATTGTTCATAGTGTTCACTCTCTATTTCTGTAGGGTCAGTATTTTAGTCTTTTCTGAGTCATTCTAGCTTATACGTGGTTTTTTACTGAGCGTTTTTTGTTTTTGTTTTTTTTTTGGGGGGGGGGGTGTCCATTTCCATGATGTCCAGCTATGACTGTGGCTCAGAGTGGGGAGTGGGAGGGCAGGTCCGGTGTGGTGGCCTCCCCCTCTCCCAAGCAAGAAGTCACAAAGGATCAGGGCAGGAACCACATATGTCTGCAAGGGCTTCTGGGCTGCCCTCACCAGACAGCTCCCTGCTTGGGGTTGCCACTCAGGCTCTAGAAACCACCCAACTCATTGTACAGACAGGAGTCCGGCAGCAGGAATAGGGCTCTAACAGAAAGCTGTGTCTAACGCAGGGTCACACACCTGGTGGACTGTGGAAGCAGTATGGTAAGAGTTGGGGTTTAAGCCACATGGAGGGGTGGGAGCCTAAGCCATAAAGGGACCTGAAGTTCAGGGGGGACCTCAGGATAAGAACTATAGTTGTGTGGAGTTGTGGGCCTCATGCTCTCTCTCAGCTAATGTCCCCACCAGCCCCATTTTAGAGGGGAGGAAATGAAGCGGGTGTTTTTGTAGCTTCTGGAAGATCCTGACCCACCATAAATCCTAGGTGCATGGAAAGGTCGGGGAGAAGCGTGTACAGATCGGGAGGGGTGGCCAGGCTGCAGGGCATTAGGATCAGGGAGCAACTAGGCTCCGGGGATCCCGGGTGGACATCCCAAGATGTAGCAGCTGGCTTGGGAGAAGCAATGGGAGGAACTGGAAGGGGAGCCGGGTGGAGCCTGAGTCTACTCCTCCTGGGCCCACTATGGACAGTGGCAGAGAACCGGAGAGCAGCAGGCTGGGGTAGTGGGCAGGGTCTGTGGGCTCTTAGCCCTGGAATAGAGGATGCACTGGGGCGCAGGGTCCCTGGCCCCCATCCCACCTGCCCCTAAGTGCAGTGACATCTCAGCTCCTTCCTGCAGAACCTTAAAAATAGGGCTGGGATGATGCCTGTCTCCACAGGCCACAGCCTATACCGCAGCTCAGAATAATCCTTGAACCTCTTAATAATTCAGGTTGCACTCAAATAGACCTTGTTAGCCTGGTGGCCACAGTGCCCCAACCTAGGCCCACCCAGACTGAGACAAGCTTCCAAGAGGTCGGCTGACCTGGGTCACCAGGGGCTAATCCCAGCCACATTTCAGAGTAACACTTCCCCACGGCCCCAACCTCAGACACCCTGGGCACCCACCCTCTCCTTTCTTTGGAAACTCAGACCAGGAATGGAGGACACCCCAGGTGTGGACACACGAGCACACCCCTAGAGGTCCAGGCCCAGCAGGTGGTCCCAACTAGCCCTGCCCTGCCCCTCCTCTAGCCACAGACAGTGGACTCTGAGCAGGCTCCCTGGGTCCTTTACTCATGCCTCTCCTGAGCCACAGTCCAAGGCTCGGG